GGGTGTTGTATATATGTTTTTTAATCGTTTTCTATTATATTTCCGAGCCTTTGCCCTCTGCCTTGTTTCTAGACAAGTCCTTTGCAAAAACTTCCTCGGAGCCTAAGCTGCCCTTCGGGCGAAAGGTGGTGAGGGAGTTGTCGTAGCCCAGAGGCGTAGGCTGTCTCGTGGCTCGGCCGGCCTTTTGGCCTCGAAGTGAACTTTCGGTCCTTAGGTTTTTTACAATCGACTTGTCAGAGTACGCGAGAGAGTTTGGCGTAGAATTTTTTTCGAAAAAACGACTAAAAACGGTGTCTGGGACTTAGGGGGGGTTCCCTCCTTCTAGCCCCCGAGGGAGGCTCGGTTCTGCAGAGGCAGAGCTGAGTCTCCCTTATAGCGTTATTGTGACGCCGAGCCCCTATCGATGGGCTTGGGGGGTTTCTCGAAAAATTATAACAACTAAAGAACGCTTCTTTATTGTATTTCGAGAAACAATGTATGCAATGCTTGGGAATTTAAGGGTAGAAGCGACGTATCTGTTCTATGTTCCAAGCGTTGGTGAGGATTTCGCCCTTCTTGTTGGCTATTGGGCGACAATGTACGGCCCCTCCCATGGCGGGGTCAGCTTGTGGCGGCCCTTACTGCTCTGCCTCAGTCTCAGCACCAGGTCGCCCACCTCACTAACGAAGTAAACAGGTCGTTGGACGGGTAGAGCATGCCCCTCTTCCTGCCTCTCGACCACTACGGCCACGCTAACCACTTGGGTCGTTGCGGCGACATAGAGTAAGAGGGCCTCGCCCCTGGTCGGCGGCACCAGGACGGGAGGATTGGTGAGCAGTGCCTTGCCTCTGCCACTTCGGCCTCGGGGGTTCAAGTAAAGCGTTCGGATTTTCTCAAGAGTCGGTACAGAGGCAAGCCTTTTTTGCCAAGGCGCGAGATGAAGCGGCTCAGGGCCGCAAGGCATCTCGTAACCCTCTGCACTCCCTTGAGGTCTCAGATTGGCCCCGTGTTGGTCACGGCCGAGACCTTCTCCGGGTTGGCCTCGACGCCGCGCTCCAAGACTATGAACCCCAAGAGCATGCCTCAGGGGACCCCGAAGACACACTTCTCGGGGTTGAGCTTCATGCCCTTCTCTTCCAAGTCATTGACGAGGTCACTGGCCTTCCTGGACTTGACCATGATGTCATCCACGTAGGCCTCGACGGTTCGCCCGATGTGCTCGCCAAAGACCTGGGTCATGCACCGCTGGTACGTGGCCCCTGCGTTTCTGAGACCAAATGGCATAGTCCCATCGTTGTCGTGGCGCCGTCGTCTGCTGACCACATCGTGGTCGCCTTGCGCCTCGCGTCGGTTGCTGAGGCGGTCGTGCACCGAAGGGGCCTTGTTGACTTTCAATGCCCGAGCAGGCTAGGGATGGATCGAGGCCTCTCTATCTTGTCGAGGCATCGCCGCGGGCCGTTCCGAGGTGTCCCCGCGCCGTCGAGACGCGGAGTTTTCGGCTTGCTGTACCGTGGCGGTCTCAAGAAGGTCTCGGAGTTCGCCATGGACCCGTCACCCCTCCGAGGTAGATGGCTCAGGCATTGTTCGGAGTAGCATCGCCGCTGCCGCGATGTTCTGGCTAGCGTGATTGAAGATAGGGGGTTGCTCGCCCCCTTCATCGTTGTTGATGCGGTGGTTGACGTCGCGAGCCCTCCACCGGTCTGCTCCGCCATCACCGCGACCCCGCTGCTCTCGCTCGAGGGCGTCTCGGAGCTGCTGCAGAAGGAGTCAGTCTTGTTCGACCTTGGCCTAAAGCTCACGGAGCTGCTCCAGGTCTAGGCGTCGAAGTTCCTCGGGGGCGGGGACATCGTCCCGCGCTGGCGGAGGCTCGGCGCGTGGTGGTGTGGCGTTGCCTGCCCCCACGTGCGACGGGGAGTGATTGCCTGCCCCTTCGCCCTCATCGCTCGCGCTTGGCCCCCCGAGCTTGACGTTGAAGCACTCTCGGCTAGGATTGTAAGTGTCTTCATCATCGGAGTCGGAGTAGCCAAAGCAGTAGTCGTTTGTGGCCATGAAGCAGCGCATGGCTTCAGGGTTAAAGTGCGTCCAGTCTGAGAGAACGATCTTGTATTCCTTGCACCGAGGTGCTTGTAGTAGGGGCTTACAAGCTGAGCGAGAGAGGGAGCTAGTCCCAGGTCTCTGCGTGGAGTGGCATGGGTTGCTCGAGATGTTGATCTCTTGCAGTGAGGGAGCGTGTGTGTTACAGAGCGTTGTGCGTGGCTTGCCTGGATCTCCCCCCGATGCCTAGAAGCGGCCCTGGTTACTCCCTTTTATAGTCGAAGGGAGGCACTAGGGCGGTACATGCATTTGCTACGTGGCGTTCTTCGGCAGGGGCGGCATGTCCGAGCCCTGCAGCTTGTCACTGTGGCGGCGTGGTCCGTGGAGCGGTCTTGTCCTCCGTGCACTGGAGCGACGCGCCAGTCACGCTGAATCCCGTGCGACGTGGGAGCTCCTGTGGTGGCAGGCACGCCTTCTTCTATTGGAGGCGTGCTGGTTACTGTATGTTTGACCGGCGCGGAGTGCCGAGGCCGGGTTTATGCGATGGCACGGGTACACTGATTCCGAGGCTACAGGAGTTAGGCCTTGTGTGCGACGTGGGAGCTCCTGCAGCCTGACGTAGGGTATGGCGCGTTCTGCGGGCGACGTGTCGGTCCCAGAGTGCTGACAACGTGGAGAGCCGAGGCTCAGTCGATGCAGAGGCTGGACCGTTGTGGGGGGCTCGGCGGGCGTGAGTCCCGAGGCTACAAGAGCCCGGAAGCGGATAGCCGAGGCTCGGAGGGAGCAGTTGGTCTTGTTCGTCGATTCTGAGGCTACAGAGACATGGACTTGACTCTCCACGCCGCGCTGTCCTTGGAGCAGGGGTTAGACAGCATAGTGCAGCACGGGTGTCAGCTGTGGGCACAGTGCCGAGCACAGCGGCCGGTAACCCATGCCCCGTCCTGTCCCAGACTGCATGGCGTCGATGTGACTCCCATCTCGTCGGCCACTCCGCTGTACTGCGCCGACGTGAGGCTGACGTCGCGGGAGTGGTTGAACGCGTTGGTTGGATGTGACATCCTGTCAGAGAAATCGGTCAAGGCGGCGGTGATGGTGTTGATGCCGAGCCGGCCTCGAGTGAGTCGGTAACTGAGTGCTCGTCCGAGGCCTCGTGGCACGGGGCCTCGGGCGAATCAGAGAATAGGTACCTCTTCCGAGGCCTTGCGGTGTGGGGCCTCGGGCGAGTCGGAGAATCAGAACCTCGTCCGAGGCCTTGCGGTTTGGTTCTGGGCCGAGCCCACTTCGGGCGAGCCCGGATATTTGTTCGATGTGGGCCGGGTGGTCCAGCTGAGCCTCGGATGTGACAGGTTTGCCTGCGGTTGTATTTTGGTTTCGTTATTTGTAAGGTCTAAGCAATTTTTTCTGTTCTTGCTTAGGGTACGCCTTTTTATGGTATCCGACAGGCTTGTTTGGCTGATAAGCCATAGCTGAAAGTACTGTTGGCTGATTTGATGTGAGAGAAAAATATTGTTCGTTAACTAAAAAAGTACGGTTTATAAGCCAAACAAGCCCAAGCGAACAGGGTGGTGGTTGCTGAGGGAAACGAACAATAGTGGTTGCTCCACCAATCGGCCACTGTTTTTCTATTCAAGTGACCTCACAAACTCTGTTCGTAGCCAACGACCGTTAAAAAAAGAGAGAATTCCTTATTTGACACCAGACAAATGACCCGTTCTTTTCTTGGCCCTCAAAAAAATTTCGTTTCCTATTTGACACCGAGTTCAACTTTCATTCCTTACATGACACTCCGTTGCATTTTCCATTCGGCCACCGTTAACTGCGCTGTGAAAAGACGATTTTGCCTCTGTGGGCCCCACCACCCTTCTCCCTCCTCTCCTCCTCCAGGCCGCCGCGTCCTCCCCAAGCCCGCGGCCAACTGAAGCCGAAGGGGAGAGCACCTATCGCCGGCGAGGAGGAGGCCGAAGGGGAGCGCGCCTGCCGCCGGCGAGGAGGAGGCCAAAGGGGAGCGCACCTGCCGCCGGCAAGGAGGAGGCTGAAGGCGATGAGGCCCCTCCGCCGCGTTTGTGCCTAGAAGGCGATGCAACCGGGGACTCGACGCTCCTCTGCCACTATCCAGGCCTCGGCGAGCGCGGAGGACGTCCTTCTCCCCTTCCTCAGGCACCCTCCTCCCCGTCCTCTTCCTTGTGAGACAAGAGCTTGGTCCGTGGCGGGAGTAAGGACGTGATCAGGGGCCTCAAAGATCAAGCAAGTGATGGGAGCCGGGAGCCAGTGATGCGTGACGCGCCGTGGCCGCGTGACCTCGATGCCAGGGAACCATTGACGACGGCGAGGAACGGCCCGTGGTGAAGTGCGAGACGAGTGGAGGTGACGCGATTCAGAGGAGGGAGAAGGGTGGTGGGGCCCACAGGGGCAAAATCGTCTTTTCACAGCGTAGTTAACGGTGGCCGGATGGAAAATGTAATAGACTGTCATGTAAGAAATGAAAGTTGAACTCGATGTTAAATAGGAAACGAAAATTGTTTGAGGGAAAAAAAAAACAGATCATTTGTCTGATGTCGAATTCGTGTTCCTGTTACATACTACTACCGTGTACGACGGCCGTCCAGCCAAACCCAGCAGCTTTTTCCGTCGCGCCAATCCGCCCCCAACCAACGCCGACCGCGACCACACACACCCTGTCCGCCATTTCCCTCCCAGGCTCCCCACAGGCCGCGAGACCGAGCCAAACCACCCCCCCACACCCCCCAGCGAAACGAGCCCAAACGGCGCTCCAGCCCCGGTAGCGAAACACACTCCGGAGTCAGTGGGAGAGCGACCGAGCGCCCAAGCGAGCACACTCCCGGCAGCCTCCGTCAAGCCAGCCACGGAACAAAGCACCAAACAGGCAAACACACACCCAGAAAAACAAAAGCCATGCCCGCTGCAGCAGCAAAAGCATCCATCGTTCCCCGCCGCCGTCGCTAAGCTACTACTGTACATACCGGTCCATGGGTGCGGCGCGTCCGCGGCGCTGGAAGCTGCCGTTCCACCGCGCCATCAGCGCCGCGGGCGGCGGCGGAGGCAGCACGCCGTGCTCGCCCTCGTCCAGGTCGTCGGCCGCGCCGCCGGGCCCCGCCTCGCCCGCGCGCTCCGAGGCGTGGGCGGCCGAGGCGGTGCCGGAGGAGTTCCTGTGCCCGATCTCCGGCGCGCTCATGGCGGACCCCGTCATACTGCCGTCGGGGAAGACCTTCGAACGCGCCTGCCTCCAGGCCTGCGCGGAGCTCGCGTTTCTGCCCCCGGGCGTCGAGGCCGGGGGCGCCGACACCCTCATCCCTAACGCCGCGCTCAAGGCGGCCATCGGCACCTGGTGCGCGCGCTCCGGACGGGCGGTGCCGGCGCCGCCGTCCGCCGAGGCGTCGAGGCTGGCCGTGCTGCGCGCTATGCCTCCGGCGGCTGCGGCCGCCAAGTCCGTGAGGACCACCATCGCAAGGCGCATGGCGGTGATGGCCGCGAGCACATCCAACTCGTCCTACTCGTCCCCGGCGGAGTCCACGTACGGGTCGGCCTCGGAGATCACCGCGGCGGAGGACGAGGTCAAGGACAAGGAGGAGGTGCCGCCGCCGCGGAGGGGGATGATCAAGGAGGTGGAGGTGGAGGCGGAGGCGGAGCCTCCTGTTGCGACGCCGGTTGACCCGCTGGAGGACGACGTGGTGGGCAAGGTGATGGACGCGGACGACGACGGCGTGGTGGCTGCGGCGATGGGCGCGCTGCGGGAGGCCACGCGGGAGGGCGCGGAGCGGCGGCGCGAGCTGTGCACGCCGCGGCTCCTGGGCGCGCTGCGCCGCGTGCTGCTGCTCCCGCGCCACGCGGCCGCCCGCGTGGACGCGGCGGCCGCCCTGGTGAACCTCTCCCTGAGCCCGCCAACAAGGTGCGCATCGTGCGCGCGGGGCGGTGCCGGCGCTCGTCGAGGTGCTCCGCTCGGGCGCGTCGGCGCCCGAGGCGCGGGAGCACGCGGCGGGGCGCTCTTCGGGCTGGCGCTCAACGAGGACAACCGCGCCGCCATCGGGGTGCTGGGCGCGGTGCCCCCGCTCCTGGACCTGCTCACGTCCCCCGCCCACCACCACCCGCCCCGCGCGCGGCGCGACGCCGGGATGGCGCTCTACCACCTCACCCTCGCAGCCGTCAACCAGTCCAAGGTCGCGCGCTTCCCCGGCGCGCCCAAGGCGCTGCTCGCCGTGGCGTCCGGAGCCGCGGAGCCCGGCCCCATCCGGAGGCTGGCGCTCATGGTGGCCTGCAACGTGGCCGCCTGCGCCGAGGGCCGCAACGCGCTCATGGACGCGGGCGCCGTGGCGTCCGTCTCCGCCATCATCCTCTCGCCTTCCCACGACAACGTGGACCTGGAGGAGTGGTGCGTGTCGGCGATGTACGCCATGAGCCGCGGCAGCCTCCGGTTCCGCGGCCTGGCGCGCGCGGCCGGCGCGGACCGGGCGCTCCGGCGCGTGGTGGCCGGCGAGGGCGGCGGCGTCCGGCGCGAGATGGCTCGCAAGACGCTCCGCGCCATGCGGGGCGACCTCGACGACGAGGACGGCGGCGAGTACAACGACCTGACCGGCAGCAGCGCGGAGTGCGGCGACGGCGAGGACTGTGGCGGGAGCATCGTGTCGGACGGGCTCATGTCGTTCCGGCGCCGGCAGCGCGAGCTTGGCGTCTCGTCGTGCGGCAACACCGCCGAGTTCTGAACCCCGTTCTTTCCGGCGAGGCGGCGACCGGTCACCGTCCACGTCCAGTTGCGATGAATGTTTTGTATGTAAATTGCTTGGTTTAGGTTCACGAGGTTAGACATTTGTGCCGTGTGTGAGGGAGACGACGATGAAAAACGTCCCGTTATTTTTTTAATAAGAAAAGGAGTAGTATTCCTTTTCTCCTGATTAACGCGGGCGATGTGGTTGATGTTGGCTGCTCGTTTTTTTTTTTGACAACATCTTGGCTGCTCGTTGACGGATCCAGATCCCGGACAAGCAATGGAATTCATCCCTTTTCTTAATGCTGAGATGGACATATAGAGCCATGCAGGCCATGCCAGTCTACTGCCTTTTGTGTCAGTCACACTGTCCTACCTTTTGTAGGCCATCCCTCTCTTCCTAACTGTTCGCTTGAGCTGGTCAGTGAGAATCAATCTAATTTTCATTAATAACAATAGTATTTTCCTCTCGCCATAAATTAACTCTACGAATCCGCCACAACCGCAATAACCCCTGCTAACGAGGGCCTTCATCTCTTGTGCAAGTGCAAATGTGCAATGCTCTACTGCAGCTTGACCCATTTCGCATCGCATCGCTTGCGTGATTCCGATGTTGCCTACGAGTACTACTCTACGCCCGATGATTGAGATGACATCGTTTTTATTTATTATTTGCGCATCTCTCGTTTAAAGTGCGTTCACGTGTCCTTCAAATGGCTCGATCCGTTTATTTTTTTTATCTAAAACACTATTTTTAGCTCGTAGATTTCTCCAGATTTATTCAAAACCATTCAGATTACTCCAAATTTCTCCAAGCGAACGGGGCCTAAATCTCGTTCTCCCAACGACTATTAAATTTGTACAGTGAAAATCTCCAAATAGCAAGGTTTTAACAAATATTTAGATTATAGAATCTTATTCTAAAATTAAATTGTTTTCTCATTCTTATTTTTTTACCTCTTTTATGTTTCTTATGAGATTCAAGTATGACCTTAATTTTTACATACTGTAGACTACATGTGCATAACCCATTTCTCTTGAAAAACAGCGGTGAACCTGGCGATAACCTTTTGCAATGTGAAAGAAGCAAATATGAAGTCTAATACTGAAAACATAAGATTCAGTTTGGAACATGAGTGGTAGCGCTGTGCCTGTGTGGCTGTGTTGCTTGGTAAATGTGTTCTAGGATTTCTCAGATAGCCTTACATGTATTTGAGCGTATAGTCAGTATAGGTGTTCATATACGTTTTTTTTTTCATATTCCCAAGTTTCTTCTGTAAAATCAAACCGATTATCGTATAACTCTTATATAAGATTTCTACATATCAAGCGGGTCCCAACTCATATAAAAAGTCATTTTATAGGACAGGAAAAGGATAGAGACGAATTGATTTGGAATCTAACACATGAAGCTTAGGTTTGGTATAGTTGCAGAGTTGCAGTCAATCACAACCACACCTCATCATGAACGCAACAAACAGAAAATTCTTCGGTACAGAAAGGAATCTGAAAGAAAAGCGATGACACTGTTAATAATGACTCTGTGCAGTGGTCATCCAATGTCAACGCCGCGGGGGTGGGTTGCCGGGCGGCGTGAGAGCGAGGGGGTCAGAGTAGGCAGGCCAGGGACCCGGAGGAGGCGTGCGTGTCGGCAGAAGTCGCTCGCTGACCAAACTCGGCCGCTTCGTGCTCTGCTCGGAAGTGTCTGGCTGGACGGACCCGTTCGTTGCGATGCTTTGTTTGGAGTCCAAGCATACCGATGCTGTGACTTGGGGTTGGGGACATCCGCGTTTCTCCATTGGATAACCTTGCCTTGAACGTGGTTGCAAGGAAGCGTTTGCAATAGGGCCGTGAGAGTATGTCGTCAGGTGATGTGTAGCATTAGTATTTATTAAACCTTTTTGCTCGTCTTCTGCTAGGTTGTCTAGCAGCGTGTTCGGTTGGCTGGTTCGTTTCGTTGCTGGTTCGTGAAGAAGTACTGCTAGCTAGTTTGTGTGAGAGAAAAATACTGTTTCGGCTAAAAATTTACGATCGTTTACGATAAGCCATAGCCAAACGAAGAGGCTGTAGTTCTAACCCTAAGTGACGGGGACGGGCAAAGATGGGAGGTGAGATTTCAGTACTTTGACTTGGTTCATACAGTACAGTACTCCGTAATGAAGTGGTAATAAAGTCTACCGTAAAGAAGAGTGGGATGGAGCCAATGACAATGAGCCTGTGTCTGTGATGCAAGCCAATGACAATGAGCCTGTGTGTCTGATGCAAACGATCAGCCTGTTCACTTGTTGGTTTTATATGGTTTTAGTCAGGACTTATCAGTCAATCAACGGTGTTTTTCTCTCACAATAAACCACCACCAGTCGAGTTTATCAGTGAACAAGCTCAGAGCTGACCCCTGCGACTGTACGTTTCGGTCGCTCTGGACCCTCTAGACGAGGACCAAAAGGTCAGACGTCAGGCAGGCACCTTTCTCGCCATGACCAGGGTGTCGTACCGCTTGTGAAAAAGTTTGGTAGCTCGGCCGTCGTCCATCGGCGTGAATGCGTTTGCCTCTCGCATGGGCATGGCAGTTGGCAGGTGCTCCGTGTTTGACCAACGAGAAAGGACGGACGGCGGCGTCGTGGCCGTACCCTTGAGCCTCGAGACCACCGGGGCATGTCTGTCGTCGACTGGTGACGAGCGCGCGCGCACGGCACTTTGGCCAAACGTCGGGGCGCTGGTCGCTCCCAAGCAAAGCGCTTTGGCTTTGCCGTGCACGAGCGCTCTCGGCGCCGCCCCGGGCGTGCCGAGCGAGTGGCTCTGGCATTCTGGCAACTGGCCAGCGGCGAATGCGTCACGGCAGGGGCGCCTGCCTGCCTGCTCCTGCCGTTGGCGCGTCGTCAGGCGTCACCAAGCCGCAACTGCAAGGAACAGTGTGGCCTGTGGGTCTGCGGCACTGTGCACATGGGGTCGTGCCGTCGGATGCATCCTTGCCATACCCGTTCCTCCAGGCCGTGCGTCCCGGGAACTTGCCCTGAAAACCGATCGATAATCATGGCGCATGCGGCTAGTGCTGACTGCTGTGAGAGTTGTGAGTTGGGTCTGACCTCATTGGGGCAGGTGATCCGTCGGCCTTGGCGCCACCGAGCTGAGTTGTGACTTGTGAGAGTAGCTCTGAAGCAGTGAAGCACCGAAAGAGACTCGCCTAGCTCAGCGACAGGCGCACGCTTATTGCGCTTGGTTAAGAATCCAAACTTCGTCCATGGTACCATACAGTATGTGCGAGAGTGGCTGCACTGAGAAGTGCCCAATGGTCACCGTTAGTCTTAGTGGTGTTTGGTTGCCCCTCCTAAATTTTAGTCGTTGTCTTATCGAATGTTTGACACGTGCATGGAGTATTAAATATAGACTAATTATGAAACTAATTGTATAGTTTGCGACTAATTTGCGAGACGAATCTTTTAAACCTAATTAGTCCATGATTTGACAATGTGCTGCTATAGTAAATATGTGCTGATGACGGCTTGATTAGCCTTAAAAAATTCGTCTCGCGGAGTACTGATGGATTATGTAATTTGTTTTTTTTATTAGTATCCGAACACTCCATACAACATCCTTTCGATACACCTCCTAAATTTTAGTCACTGGATCCCTCATCAGCTTAGTTTTAGGGTAGCCAGCAACGGCAAGGCTGCCAGGCTCAAGCAGTGAAACGTCAAGGAGTGTTTCTGTTCGACTGTTCCCCTGCTAAGTGGGCCATTGAAGGATAATAATAAGGCGGAACTGGGCCTTCCAATTCCCATCTTCGGAGTTTCCTTTTTTTTTTGAGCAAAATCTTCGGAGTTTCCTAACCACAATGGTGCAGTGTCTTCCAATCCTCTTTGTTTTTTGAGAAAAGTCTTCCAATCCTCAAAAGCCTGAGGAAGGCATGCTAAGCTAGGCTCGTGGGGCTTGGAGCGGGATAATCAAGCCCAAAAACTTTTGACCAGCCCATGTCCGTCCCAAAACTATTACTCCCCTCGTGTCTCGTGTCAAAAAACCTGTCATCTAGGACAATATAGTTGAACTTTCAGAACTGCAAACATCGCTGACTTTTTAATTATTTATTTATTGAGTTTAAAAACATAAAGATATATTCATGGATTTGAGTTGAAACATACGTGCAAAATCTCACAAAATTAAGACTCCAAAAATACATTCTGGAATCTAGATGGTATTAGCGATCAAAGGTGTGCGTCAGGCCAAAGACAAATGTGTCATGCATTCTTGTTTTTTTTTTTTGAGCAAAAAAATGTCATCCATTCTTGGTAGTATTTCAATTATTTTTATTCACACTGGAAAACAGTGGGTGGCCCAACTAGCCCGGTCCGACCCTAGCCCAGCTTAGAAAAGCCATCCCGAGCTTACCCAATGGGGATATTTGTCTTTGGGCATCGAATTTGAGCCTAAAATTAATTGGGTTTCTTGTTAGTCCGATTTGCAAAATGCTTAGGTCAATTGTCAGCCGTACCATCGACATGGACATACCGATGTTTTTCCTTTTGACCCCCATGGCCCTACTCACTATACCATACTACTATTCTTAGGGCCCTTTAGAATACAAAAATTTCACAAGAATCGTACACAAATTTTGCATAAATTGTATATGAATATTATAGAGATCAATTCATTTTTATAGAAAAAACGCAGAAAATAGGAAAAAATTTCGCATTCCAAAAGAGGCCTTATATATTGACCAATGCTTGAAAACTAGAAAGTGCTAAATAGGTAGTAAATCTCTAACTAGCGCACAGGCGTGTCTAGAGGTTTGACACCTAAACGAGACTATAGGCATGATTGGTTTGTGTACCTAGAGCCCGACCCTCATTGGACATGTTGAGCCCATATACCACTATCATCCCTACTTTGAAGAAATGCCACCATTCTCGTTTCTATGGAGCCCAACATATGAGCACCTTGGTGTAGAGAAACATACGAGCAACTTCTACATCTAGATGTCTGGTGAGCCAGGCTCAGCTA